GAGAGAGAGAGAGAGAGAGAGAGAGAGAGAGAGAGAGAGAGAGAGAGAGAGAGAGAGAGAGAGCAAGAACTCCACGGAATCACGCGAGACTTTCCAACGATAACCCGATACCTCTCGTCGTTCGTGGGGAGAACAACGGTGGCGGCGGCGGAGGATGGAAGTGGAAGGGGCAGGGTGTTTCGGTGGGTTCTTCTTCCACTCGGTGGGATTCCCCCTTTCTCCATCCCCCCCCGTCGTAATACGAACCAGTTCCGCCGAGTTCTCCGATTACATGCTCCCCGGACGCGCTGGAATTCGACTTTTTTTTTCATCCGTTCTTCCCGCGCAACCCTGTGGCGAAACGTCGCAGCGGAGCATAATGGCAACTGCGACGCAAAAACGACGTTTTTCCGTGGCGAAGTCGCCTTACCGATTGTTCTTCGTTTTGTTCCTGAGAATGTGGTATCGATCCAATATCTCCTCCGAGAGAAGGGATCTTTTTTTCGTCTCTCTGCCCTGAACTCCCGCACACTTTTAACCCGTTTTCTCGGGAGAAACGAGCCGTTCGCCGAACGATCGTTTCTTCCGGGCAATCATTAAGAGCGTTATAATACAGCTGCGCTCCAAATTGAACGTGATCTTACCTCCCTCGAGCAATCCTGATATCCGGCTTTGTACCTAGACAGGCCGGGTTGAGCGAGCGACCTTTGCCGCTGGAGGTGCCTGACCGTGAGCTCCAAGATATCAGCTTTCTCGAGCTTGCTGTGCTTGGTGTTCTCCAGGCGGGCGCTGTCGAGAATAAGCGCTTTCAGCGCCGCCAGGGACTGGTTGATCCTCGCTCGCCGCCGTTTTTCCATTAGTGGTTTGTTAGCCTGCAACAAACGCAAGAAAACAACTCCTTTATACACGCGTATCAATATCGTGTGCCGCAATTTTTCTTCTATTTCTTAATTAAAAGCCGAAGCTACAGGCGAACTGGCTGATTCCTTTCCTCTGGTTTCGCTAATCGATCATTTCGTGTTGGTCTCTGCGTGCGGGAGTTTCCGCCGCGCTCATAAGAAGTGCGAGCACTCGCGGCTTAAAAGCGAATAGGGCGACGTGTTGCCTAGACGCGACACGCTCTCCTACTTCAACCGAAGTGCTATTTTTCCGCTCGCGCTCGGTGGGAAGTGGTGATTTACGAGGAGCCGCCGGCGAGCAGAGAGCGCTGCGACGGGGGAAAGAGAGGGAGGGAGAGGGAGAACCGCGGAATGACACACACGCCACGAGCACATCGAGACTGCCCCAGCCCGCTTGATCTGGATTGGGTCCAGTTACGAACGTTTATCCACGGTGTCATCGGAGATATCATCGATCTGTATCCCAGTTGTCCTCGTCCCTCCACTGAGCAGTGATAAAAAGGGAAACGAACAGCTCAGAATTAGGAGCTATTTATAAGCTCACGAGCAACGCAGGCTGCAGGTTCTGAACTCGTCGCACTGAGCGAGAATTTCAACTTGTTTGCGGAGGTATGAGCGAACGTTTCTTTTTCCTTTCTCCCTCTTTTCTTTCTTCTTTTTTGCCCGGCAGCTCTTAGCTCGCTGGCGAAGTGCCGACGTCGCTCGCGGCGGCGACGGCGACGGCGACGACGACGACGACGACGACTCGCGTAGACGGTCGGAGGAAGATGCGAAGGGGTAATCATAGAGACTCCGACTGAGATGGAAGATAGTCGCAGACGAGCGGGGATAGAGCCGGATAAAGTGGGGTAGACCGCGAAGTGGATGACAGAGCCGGCGCGTCGAAGGCAAACGCGCCGTACCGGGTGTCCCGAAGGTGCACATCGGTGGTGGATTTCCAGAGGAGCATTTCGTGATGGGTCGATATCGTCGCCAACGCTCTAGAACCACTTCATCGGTTTCTTTAGTCGCGTGGGTGGTGAATTTCCGAAGAAGGCGGAAATTTTCCGGAGAACCTCGCGATTCACACGTTCGTGCGTCCGGCTGACGTTTCTTCATCGGAACTCTGGGGAGTCGCAACGAAAAACGCAGACAAAGTTTGCGTCGGAAGGGGATCGCGGGAGAAACAATTCTTCTTCGACTGGAGAGAAAAAACAGCCTCCGCTCGCTATCATCGGGTTCGCTGCTCAACTTTTCGGCACGCTCTGTACGGTCTGACCGAACGCGAACGACGAAGTAGACGGAAAAAAGTAGTTAGAAGCCGTCGTGCACAGCCTCAACAGAGACGGAGGCAGTGAATATAGCACCGACCGGCATGGCACAGGGGAGAGACGGTGAGAGCAACGTGCCGAGCAACAAGGATAGCCAGCGACACTGTCTGAAGAGCGAGAACGAGATGGCGAATAACAATATGATTGCACGAGACAGACGAAGACAGTCGCTACATACATGCGGAGGAGACGAGACAAGAGAAAGAGGAAGAGAGACAAGGACCGACTCGCGCGTGGAGTAGCGTTTGAGAGAGCAGGAGACAAAGGATGAGTGAGCGAGAACGACGCGGATGTTCCACGTGGAAGAAGGACAGCGTGTGAAGTAGCGAGCCACGAGGCCGAACTCACAAAGGTACGTCTGGTGAGAGAGAAGGGAACGCGCACCACGACAGAGAGAAAGAGAGAGCCGGTGGATAAGAGACAGTGAACGCGACGAGCGAAAGAGCGCGAGAGATGACAGATATCCTCGTGAGAGATGAAGATAGCGCGCGACACGCGGACGCGGCGAAAGAGCAGATACAGTCGGATTGGGGGAGCGAGGAGGAGGAGGAGGAGGAGGAGGAGGAGGGGGAGGAAGCGGTGACGGCGGCAGCCGCAGATTTCTGCGTGGGGAACGACAGATAGAAATAACGAGCGACGAGGACAGATGAAGTCGAAGCTAGAAAGCGAGCGAGAGTAGGAAAGAGGTGCAGAAAATACGAATAGAGCGATAGAAATGGAAACGGGTAGACGGAGAGCGAGCGACACCGTCGGATTCGACGAGAAGACAAGGAGACAGACAAAAAGAGACAGAGAGAGGGGAGAAAGAGAGAGAGAGAGCCAAGGATTAACAGCGATCACACAGCAGAGCGACGGAGATAGCAGCGGCCGTCAGCGAGAAGGATAACAAGTGACGAGCAGGACGGATAGAACCGGGTCCAACAAGAGAACGGAATACCGCAGACACCTGTGTGAGAGAAAGAGAGTGACGAAAGTAAGGACTGGAAGTGGATGGATAAAGGGAAACGAGGTGAAGCCAGCGCAGTACGTTCATACGGGAGCGCCGCGGCGGGTAAACAAACGAGCGAGCCGCGGTCACGCGTGCGCATGTGTGTGTACACGCGCGTGTCACATACCGGCGTGACGCTCTCTCTTTTTCTCTCTCTCTCTCTCTCTAGCTCACTCGCTCTTTGTCGCTCCGGCGCGTCCTTCTATTATTACAAAAGACACGCGCGGCAGGAGGGAGCGGGCCGTGAGAGACAAAGCAAGAGGGGGAGAGACGGATGTCTGTCGGCGATGGACCTCTCGTGCGCGCCACCCCGTGTATATGTGTGCGCGTGCACGGCAGGAATTTCGCAGGGACGTTTAAATTACGCCTCGGCGATTCGAGGGGGTGAAACTGGGTTAGTCGCGGGCCGTTTATCCTTTTCTTCTTTTTTCCACTTAACTTGAACTCCGTCTGTTGCTCGGGGCTCGACAATACTCGCTCAAAAATACGCGTTTTCCGTAGAAACTTGCGAGTTTCGGCGTGCGAATGATTTTTCGGAAAGCCACGGTCGATTTCGCGACCGTCGCGAATCCTCAAACTTACGCCACCAATACCCGAATGAACCTAGAAAATCACTGGCGGAAACGATTCTTTTCACTACATTTTTATGAAATAAATATACTGTATATCAAATTAATTATTAAATTTGTGTCATACGATAATGTGTGTAAATTTTTCTATTGATACAGCAAGTTTACTAAAAGTCACACTCAGATTTTTATCTTATATTTGACATATTATTTAGCGCAAATTGTAATTTCTTTTTGTACTTCTATTTCGTCATTTTATGCGGTAAATATGAGTGCAATCTGATCAGTCACAAGAAACTCAACGTTGCTGAATTTCGTGACTCGATATAATTAAAGTTGCTATAAAGCATACGTACATCAGTCTATGGAGAAATAGACGACATTGACTCTTTTTTCCCCCCGAAATGGATACGAAATCTTATTTCTGTCACGTTTTATCGTGTTACTGTTTAGATTACCAGACGCCCCACATTATGTGTCGTCAGTAGATGATTTTTTTTTCGGACGGGCTGAGAAGGAAGAGAGACGCACGCTCTTTGCGCCAGACTTTGGCGTTTTTTTCGCGAGGTATCGAAAGGTCGTCACGCACGCGATAACATCTGACGGCGGCGCGCCACTCCGACATTCGCCCGACATGACTTTCGACTTCGGAAAGTGGACGCGCGCCTGCGGGGAAAGGGAAGTGGGAGAGATAAAGAGGACGGGTTCGCGCGCCGTGACGGCGACTTTGAGCGGCGTCGCCGCCGGCGCTGATTAGCGCGTTACGCGCGATAAATCGCAGTCTCGTCGGCCGCCGTGTTTGCGACTTCGCGACACTCACGGAGGCGGCGACGACGGCGACGGCATTGTGAATCATCATCGACGCGCAAAGCGTCGGAACCCATAAAGTCGGCTGCTTTGAGCAACGGTCGTTGCCTAAGAGCGACCGCTCATGGTCACCCGTCGTCGTATGTGTATATTCACGATAAGCTCTAATATCTCTAATCAGATGTACAAACACAGTCGCGCGAGCTGTGCTTTAGTCTGGTGGGAATAAAGGAGGATACCCAAATCCTTATGACTACTGGCCCCTGGGGCGTACACGGTTGGAACCGGGTGCATCTTATAGGTATACTAATGTCCATTAAAAGTCTCCATTACCACCATCCATGTAAGTCATTGCAGTCAGGAGATATATGGGCGGCAAAAGGAAACCGTTGAATTTATCAAATTTACAAAGAGCGACAAAGAGATGGATGTAATCAGTGATATATATATATATATATATATATTATATATATATGACAAAGAAAGCCTTATATTTTGAGTCGTAATAATATGTAAAAACGAATATTTTGCAGTTTTATAAGCTCCATGGTTCAAGATAGCACATTAAAAAAGAAATTCAAAAGTCATCTTATATCTCAAGATTGCAATGTTTTTCAATGGTAGCATCATTGCAATTTCCGACATACTCAATGAATACCTTCAATCACGCTAGATTTTATTTGCATACGCTCTAGAGTCATTTTGGAGCCATTTACTATTTTTCACAAGAAAAGAAAAACAATTGGACTTTTTGCTTTCGTGAAAATTGGATACCGCAGATCGTTTCGCGCCAAGTTCCAAAGACAACCATTACACGCACACGTTTGTTCGTCTGTTGTCTGCGGGCGCATCGTCGAGCGTGGATACGCCTTCATCTCGCGCATGATAAATCGATTAAAATGCGAAGGCTGGTGGCAACGAGCGACAGGTAATTAAACCGGGCATAACGACGATCCGTTAAGTGCCGTCAATTAAGCCGTCCGCCGTTGTCCGACGACGACAGCAACGATCGCGTCCGCCGGTGTTTCTCTCTCTTTCTCTCTCGTCCGCTTCGTCCCTTTCCCGCTACCTCCTCCCTTCGAAGTCCCGCGAGGCTTTACCGCCCTCATTAACTCAACGTGCCCCTCGAGTTGCCTCGTCTATCGCCGCGATCCCTCAACGACGATAACTCGATGCGATAAAGATTACGAATTTCTTAGCGCGCCAGCTGGAGGAGAAAGAGTCGAAGGAACATGAGAAAACGAAACTCTGGATCAAGTATGATTAATAAATTTATTGTGATTAATTTATAAATACGTTACTCACTATTGCTAACTTAATCATTTTTACCTTGACATCTTTGACGCGCCTGGCGAGTATAATATTCATCAACGTTTTATATAAATAAATTTATATGCATATATGAATATATAAACGTGATATATATACACACACACAGAGTGTCGAACAATAGAGAGAACGATAAAAACTCGTGTACATGCAGATTAAATCAAACTGACAAAATTCCTCTACCATTTTGCAAACAACCGCGTGATCATTCGCTAATGTTCTTCAATGAATAATTCAAAATTTTACACATTTTCAAAATGGCAAAGGAATTCTGTGTTCAGTGTTGATTAGATCTACGTGCACATGAGCTTTTTCCCACACGGAAAAGACAGTACGGTTAACGTACACGAATCCGGTTGTGCCGACCAGATTCAATATTGAATCTGGTCGGCAGAAACCGGATTCATGTGTGGGCCAAACATACTGTTTTTTCCGTGCGCCTATTGTCAGACAGCCTGTTCAAATTGATAGAATCAAAAGAATATAATTGAAAGAAATTGAAAGAAATGTAACGCACAGAGGGTACAGAGCGCAAACAATCGCGGATGTTAATGTTACCGTTGCCACCCTCTCCCGTCCGTTTACCTCGGCCCTGGCGAGTTTTTCGCCGGGAATTTCCGTGCTGTTAATGAAATGGCGCAAACTCGCCGCGCGAACGCATTCCGCCTAATAAAGACGAGTGCGCGAAGTTGCGCCCTTTCGTCACCGCGGGAACTTTCCTAATAGGAGACCGCAACACGGCGCGGTGCGTTCAAGCACGAGCGTCGGTCGTCTCTTACGCTCTCACGCGACGTAAATCGCCTTAAAAGGGCACCTAGCCGTACTCGCACACGCGTGCGCTGGGAGTTCAACCATGTGTGTATGGGCGCGTGTATGTATGTGTGTGTGCGTGCGCGCGCGCGCGCGCGCCCCCGTCTGCTCATGCTCGCCCTCGTTGGAATTTCGCGGAGTTCCTTGGCGCGTTCGCACGTCACGCTCTATCGTCGGGTCTGCACATTAATAACCCTCCGACTGTACGTTTGGGGAGCGAATAAACGTTCGCCGTATGTGGGATCCGGATGCGTCGGATGCGGGAATCGAATTATTTATCCGGGTGGCGTATCGTGTACGTGCGTAGGCGAAGAAAATGATCGTTATCGGGATGAAAAGTGCGCTCGTTAACTCGCGCTATCGAGCGCGAAAGGATGTACTGCGGAATGCGCGGCAAAACCGCGCCGCCGCGCTCTCCCTCTCTCTCTCTCGCTCTCTCACTCTCTCTTGCATAACGCGAATTTCGGTCGTGCGCTTTCGGTCGACGAGCTAATTGGATAAACCGAATTACACCTTTGAACGACGCTGACCATGCGGACGGAGGCGCCCGGACGATCCTGCCCGGTAACCGCCCGTAAATACGTCCAATTACTGCGAATTGGTATTACAAGGCTCCGACACGCACCGCTCGTGCCACGACGTGCCCTCGCGACCCGTTCCGTTGTTTTGCCGCCGCGACAGAGAAAAATAAGGAAACGCGTTTGTCACGCGCGTCGAGAAAGAAAGAGAGGCACACAGAGAGAGAAAGAGAGAGAGAGAAAGAGACTTGGTTGCAGTCGATCTTATTCCCGGCAATGTCAGCGCTTGTTAATGAGGATTTGAGCGGAATCGATGAGACCGCTCGTCTAAGCTAAGCTAAGATTTATCGCGTCGCGGAATGCGAACAAAAGAAAAAAAACAGAGGGAAAACGCCGACTGTATGCTGCCGAATAAAGGCGCGACAGTGCAGATAAAAAATACGCGGTTTAACGAGTTTTTTCTCTCCTGCTTTCTTTTTTATCCTTTTCTGCTTTTTGTTTTCTTTCTTCACCTCGTCTTCCCGCGAATTTGAAGACCTCTCGAGTGCGCCGCAAAAAGCGGCGGCGTCTTTTTTGATCTAGTTTCTCGACACGCGCGCGCATGCGCACGCCTAATAATTTAAACGGTTCACCTGTGCGTCGCTTTTTCCCTCTATTCTATTTTTCATCGCGATTTAACGGCACCTCCACGTGGAGAGCGATATTCTTTTTATACCTCGTGCAGCTATCGCCTTCGCCGGTGTTTTTTACGGTCGAGGAGCGAGCGAGCGAAGGTCGAACCGTCGAATTCCGGAATCTCGCGAAATCCGCCTGGCTTGCGGTGTTGACCCACTTCGCAGAGATTAGAGAGAGAGAGAGAGAGAGAGAAGAGGAGGAAAGAACCGCGCGCACAGGTAATGCTGCAGCTTTCGCGTTCATTTTTATGCACTCAAGTTTTTAATCGCGAACTTTTTCCAGAGTCACGCCGGTCGCTCCAGTCGCCTCGCTGAGATTGCATCGGACGGCGAGATCGCGCGGCGTATTTCTCGCACTTATCATTCGATATATAAAATATCTCGAAAAGAGTGCGGAGAAGGTACGGATAATTTTAACACGCACAGACGTACGTCTCAAATCTACGTCGAAAATTTGGGAGAAATTATATATATTTTTTTTCTTTTCAAAGAGACGTAAATTTTTCGTCGAGATACTCTCTTATTCCTCGGAATGGAATCTCACATAAAACGAGTGAAAAGTGGCAGAGTATTTTCATTCAGTGCAACAGTTGATACTCTGCCGCTGAAAGTCGCAAGAGTGAACGTTACTTGAGCTTAGAGTGAATTCTGACTCCATATGAATGAATGCTGCAGCCGATTAGAGTGATTGTGTTCTTGATGGCGGAACACATCAGATTCACTCTAAAACTTCGAGTGAAAATATTCATCCGACGATTAAAAGTATTCACTCTGTATGAGTAACAAATCACTCGCATTCGAATGACTTGATGGTCACTTTACTTTTCGAGGGAAATTTCACTCCAAGAGATTTAGAAAGTAGGATAGAGCCCAAGTTCGCAACTCGCGCGAGAAATCCGCGGGAAGAACTTTTTTCACAGCGCACCCTACGCACGCGTAATACAAACACCGTAGATCGCGCTTCTCTCGTTTATTTGCGAGTCCAACTGACAAATCGACTGACTCCTGTGTATCGAACGTCGGGTTTAGGGAAACTGGAGGTTGCGCAAACAAGAGACACGTGTCCAATATCATGTTCGCGTTGCGCCAGCGGCCTTACGATCGGGAGATTAAGCGCACGGGAGGATTGAAAGGAAGGGGTGAATCGCGCGATCAGGGATATGTGTCGCTGTGACAATCATGTGTCGCGTCGCGATAGATAAAGTCGCGTTCCCGTAGCGACGAGTGTGAACGTAGCACCCTCTGAAAATTGAATGTTCGGGCTCTCTCGCTCAGCGAACCTCACTCTTCTTCGTTCTAAATTCTATTGTCATACATTCTGCTCGATGCATCGAAAGAAGAAACTTCCCAAGACGAAATGTCGATACGCTTCGTTCACATGAGAATGTCAACGAGCGAAGGAAGCATTCCAACAAGCGGCGAATCGGAAAATTTGACCGCAGTCAAAGAATTTACTCACTCTTCGTCCGTCCGAGTGTTTCGGGCTCGGGCTAAGGCTCGGGCTGGGGCTGGGTGCCGGGCTCGGACCCTGATGCACGTTCTGCTGATGCTGAGAGTGCTGATGGTGCTGTCTGTGGCTGCTGCCGGCTGATTTCTTCTCCTGGTGCCTCAGCGAGTGTAGACGCGCGGTCATCTTAGCAGGCCGCGACGGCCCTCGGCTCAGATCGCGACACCCTACGTGATTGACTGGACACAGCTGAGGCTGTCAGCATCTCGCAGCGACCTGCGGCGGCAAGACCAGACTACCACCACCGGACCACCTCGCGGATTCCTTACAACTGCTACTGACACTGACGAACGATACGGCGGACTGATCACTGTTGCACCATACCCCCGAGTATCTCGAGAGATCGATTACGAGATCGGTCGAAAGTCTCGGAATGTTCGACCGCGACGAGTGTCGTCTGGTCGTATGATAAACGCGGAGGCACGTGTCCTCTCTTTCTTTTTCTCTCTTAAGAAGGGAGATTGACGCGAATGTGTCTCTCTCACTCTCTCTTTCTGTCTGCGCCTTGTCGTTTTATTTACATTCACTCGACGGCAATCACCTGGTCTGTACGCACAGAGGAGAATCGGCTGTACACACGCGCCGAAGAAAGTCCCGCTCGCGAAAGTTCACACCACTCTAGAGCCGCGCCACACCGGCGCACACACCGCGCCACGTGGTTAACCACGCGTCGCCGACCACTTGTCACTCGCGGGGCGGAACGGCTCGCGCTCCCCCCCCGAGCACCCTTGCGCGTCCTTACGGCTGTGCGAATACTCCGTTGGCTCGACAAGTTTGTCAGACACAAACAGTCAATTGATAATCAAAACTGCACTCATTCGCGAGTACTCGCGCGGATGACAGGTAACGTCCAGCTGTCACTGACAATATTCAGCGCGCACGCGTTTTCGCACCCCTGGAACTCGGCCTAGACCGAGACTACGGGGACGATGATGAGACAACACGGTCCTCTTCCGGGGAGAAATCTTCTCTCGATATCTCCGAATACATCGAACTGTGTGGAGCCCGCGAGTCGCGAAGCTGCACGTCAGTGGCCAAAAATTGTTGGCCGAACTCTCTGAGTACGTGCGCGTGCCGAGATCGATCTCGATTCGTCACTGCGTGTCAGCGATAACGAATGAAAACACACGCAACGCGTGTGCGACTCTACCAAGAGAGCGTCCGCGTGTGCTCACGCGACGAGCGACGATGACGGACTGTGAGGCGGCGAGCGGTAGCTGGCAGCTGTACGGCGAGAGCTTGGCGCGCCGAGACCCGCCGCGGCAGAGGGGGGAACAGGGTAACGGGGGCTCGCGTCGTGGTTGGTCGTGCGTGGGGCGGGGGACACCAGTGGATGGCTCGTCGGCGCTTGGCGTGGCGTGGCGCGCCAAGGCACAGCGCGGCACGGCGCAGCACGGCGCGGCGCGGCGCGGCGCGGCGCGGCGCGGCACGGCGCGGCCGGCGCGGCATGGCGCAGCACGGCGCGGCGCATCGCATCGCATCGCGCGCGGCACGGCACGGCGCGACTCGACGCGACGTTACGCGACGCGGCGGAGGGTCGTCGGAAGGCTCGCTTGCCTGCTCACGCGCGC